AGCAGCGATGGTGAAAGCAGGGAGGATTGTGTGCCGAGCACACAGCACTTTGTTCTTCAGTTAGAGATCGCTACACAGGAAACGCTGCCTCAAGCTGACAGCTGTTTGGTTACAGCGAGGGGCCGTCAGCCTCTGTGTGTTGTCTTAATGCGCACCTGAGGGAATGAGAGTCTTCACTTGCCTGTGCTTCACTTTCAGCTCCACGCTGGGTAAATATAGACAAACAAATCATGGCAGAGACGCATCAAAGTCAGGAGTGGAAGGGTGTGGGGTGGGGGGGTTGCATTTATTTCCAAAAGACACACAGTAAATACAGCTGCTCTCTTCTACATCTGAGTGTAAACGCGTCTACATCAAGCTGAATAGTTTCCTGAATCCTGGGTTTACGTCGATATACTGGCTTTGTGTTTGCGTCCACTGTCATAACAGTCACATCGAGACGATCAACTCACCGTTTACAATAAAGTTAAATCACTTGCGGACAATGTACACAATCAATATGTGCTTCTTATAACAATATCAGATTTAAAAACTAGTACATTTTGCATATTAAGCTTGGTAAGCTCTAGAAAATATTCACATACATTTAATGAGTTAAACTGAAACAGCACCAGAATATTGCATACATTTCTTTAAAAAAAAACTTAAGATTATTAGGTTTAGGTTGTCAGCACCTATGTGTATGCAATATGCAGTACACAGGTACTCAGTTATTGCTATTTAAGTATATTATTTGGGCTTAATTGATTAAAAAAAACAAAAAAAAACAACAACTTTAACCGACTTTAACTTTAACCAAGTTTAACCGACACATTTTATCTGGGCAATTTTTCAGAAAGATCATGTATTTAAAGACAAAAATCTTTACTGATATCTTCTTTTATTCTTTTTGTAATGCTTGCTGAAGAGTTTCAAAAATGTTGCCCAGGTGTTACGTTGTAGTACCAAACAGTCAAAGGTTCGAATGGTTTTAAGCTCTTATTTCTTGTGTGGATAGTTAATGAAGAAACAAAAAGAAAACAACAAAATATTTAAATCACAATTAAGCAAAACAAAACGCATATACATACATATTTATTTTAAAAAGTGTCCAAAGGGGGGGAAGCAAAACAAACAAACAAAGATCCTGAATAAATGAGATGGCCTCTGATGGAACGTGAATATTTTTGCTCATCATCTCTCACCATCTTTCACTCTTTTCTTCCCTGTGGCTTCACCATCATCATCATCATCATCCTCAGAGTCTTTGGTCCGTGTGCACAATATCAAGATGGAATGTCGGAACAAACAAACGAAAACAAACAAACCAACAAAAAACAGATGTTGTCGCTGCTATGGTGATGGAGGACAAATCCATGGCCGCGTGAGGAAGGGTATACAGCGCCCAAAAATTAACTGAAAAACAACGACAAACAATAAACAAAATAAATCGAATGAACAAACAGCGACTTTACTGAAATAATAAGTGAAATAAAAGAGAGGGATCAGAAAAGCAGCACTGAAGCAAAGAAGTTAGGAAGCTCAGATAAAATCGTAGCGCGTGTGCTGGTGAATGAGGTGTGAACCTTTTAAACTACACTCTGTATGATGATTACTTCGAACACCAGTCCTGAGTGAAACGGCCAAAAATGATGTTCGGAAACGCACAAAATGGAAGATCTGCAACAGGAACAAGAGTAATGCACGTGAGCGGCCACAAGATGGAGCCATATGCCT